TCACAAATTAGCATTGGTTAATATGACAATTTCGCGGCTATAAGTAGTTTACGGCTACTTCTTGTAGTTATTTCGTGTAACCAAAACTTAAACAATAGCTACGGTTTTAGCAATTCAGCGTCATCATATATTATGAAATGTCAAGGGTTAATATAAAATTTGTGTGGCTATAAGTAGTCCATAATCACGATTTTAGTTATTTCATATAACAAAATGGTTACCAATAGCCAAGGTTTTAACAATTCAACGTAAACAAGTGTCATGAAATGGCCACGGTTATTGTAAAACTTGTGTGTCTATAAGTATTTTAGGGTCACATTTTTAGTTATTTTGTGTAACAAAAAGAGGTTGACAATAGTCGCGACTTTAACAATTCAACGTAACAAAAAATGGCTACAGTTAATAGAAAACATTTATGTGACTATAAGTAGTCTATTGTCACGATTAAAATAAATATATGTGGCTACAAGGTAATCAATGAGTGCATTAAAAACAAATCGTGTGCCCATAAGTTGCTTATGACCACGGTTTTTAGTTATTTTATATAACCAAAAGATAATCAATATTCAATAGCCACGGTTGTAAAACGTAAACATAACTATATATCATAAATTGGACATTGTTAATATGACTTTACGTACCTATAAATAGGTTATGTCTACTATAAGGTTATAAGAAAAACGTTTAACTATCAATATTTTTTATAACCTTATGGCCACGGTCTTATGATATGGCAACAGTTTTTATGAGATGTAATAACACAATTTGAACGTGACTATAAGGGTGTCAAAGGTCATGGAAGAATAAACTATGGTTTATATGAAAAAAAACTGTAGCAAAAGGACTATACCTAGGGTTTTTTAACTGTGACTTATGTGACATTTTGATTAGTGAGGAGGAGGTGTTGAGGAAACGATAGTAGTCAACAAATTAAGAAGGGTATATGAGATTATGCCATGAACTCATCACTACGTATACCATGGAACTATTGCAAAGTAACACAACCAAAATAAGGTCTAACGAAGGGTATGACTACTACATCTTCAGTCTGAAGTACTGATATTTCTTTAGTTACACATGGAGAAGCATATTAACCACTTGGCTCATTGAGGGCCTTGCGTTGCTATCTTCCTCGACGCATTGCAATGCAATTCTAACCAGATTGTCCATGGTGGTTCTATCGTATTTTCCACTTATTGAAGGGTCTACGATCTCCTCAAGCCAATGTTTCATTTGACTTCCATTGAATTCTTGAAGCTTATCTCTTACCCAGTCAATTAGAGCAAGTTCAATCTCATCATTTCCATTGCCTGTATGACACTTGCCTACTGGATTCCTTCCTGTTATCATCTCCAATACCACCATTCCATAACTATAAACATCAACTTTTGAGGTAACTGGGAGATTGAACACCCATTCAGGAGCCATGTAACCTCGAGTTCCTCGTATCATAGARAAGTTCGACCGGTTGAAACCACCTCTATCAAAGAGTTTTGACAATCCAAAATCTGCCACCTTAGGATTGTAATTAGCATCCAACAATATGTTATGGGGTTTSACATCACAATGTAAAACCCACTCCAAACATTCTTCGTGTAAATAAGCAAGTCCTTTGGCAGTACCCATTGCAATATCAAGCCTTGTTGCCCAATCAAGTTTACCCATCCCTAAGTTTTCAGCTAACGATCCATTCTCCATGTACTCATAAACCACAAGCCTATGCTTTCCTTCAACACAATAACCCCATGTCTCTATTAAGTTCATATGATTCACCCTTCCTATTGTGTTTATCTCAGCTTGAAATTCAGCTTCCCCTTGGTGACTAGTGTTCTTGAGCTTCTTGATTGCTGCAATCCTGTTATCTGATAACTTACCTTTATACACAATGCAAGCACCACCTCTCCCTATCTCTTCGCTAAAATTGCCTGATGCCTTCTTGAGCTCGTTGTATGTGAACTTTCGAAACCCTGTTGTAGCAAGAAAATAACTTTGCTCATTTGTAGACGACCGTTTACTGTTACAATACCAGAAAAAAACTATGCAAATGATCTCAATGAACCCAATCGTGCATCCAAAGGTTAGCATGAATCCAAGTGGTTCAATATCATGCTTTTTCTCGTAAGACCTTATGATAGGTGTCAGCGTAGGGCGTGGACAACTGAAGTTCGATTGACCCATGGGTTTTTCATGATAGGATGATACTAGCTTCTTTGGTAGTTTGATGTAAATTGTAGAGTCGAAACCTATCTGATACCCGTTATGCAAAGAATTCTTCATGAAGCAATAATAGCACCGCAGTTCTTCTTTCCATCCGAACTGGAACCCCCTACAAGAGTTATCCTGTAAACAATCCTTCTTGCAAGCGTCAACAGTGACGTTTGGAAGGAACCGAATATCATACCCATAGAATTCAGCTTGACGAAGTTCAATGAAATCACAATTATCTTGAGTGCATGGCTGGAATTCAGGTTCACACCCGTAACTCCAATCTTCAGATTTCACCATCCTGTAACCATGTACGCAACTACATTTCCTACCTGAATCTTGGGAATAAATACAAACACTGTTTGGTCCACATGTACCATGAATTTTGCAAGATTGAGAAAGGGCTTGCCATTGAACTTCCCATTTCTTTCTTCTTTCATGCACAATGAGACTATACACTCTTACATTACCGTCTGTATCAATCTTCATTATTCTTTGTGGCCCCTTCCCAAAATCAACAGATCTGAAACTGAAACCATCCGATGAATTGAATTCACCATCAGAATCAAGGATTGCTCTTCGATTATACAGATACTGGAATCTCCCAGCTTCCCAAGTTCTTAAATCGGGATTAGGCCAGTAAATAGTAGTTGTTTCTGGACCATCATAAAGAAGACGAAGAATGCTGTCGTTGTCGAAAAAGAGCTTATAGAAACCTGAAGAGTAATTAGTAGAACTTCTCGAAGAAACAAGTTGTGTGCTTTTAGTGAGGGGTTGATTTGGAAGAAGGGTATCTGTTGGATAATCAAAGCTTTGCCAAAGAGTTGATTGTCCTCTTCCATCATCGAGCACAAGGTTACCTGAGCTATGGAGTTGCAATATAATCAAGGAAGAGGTCGACTTTGTATGGGTCGACCAAATAACGTCTCGACCGGCATCCATCAGAACCAAATTGCCATCTTTCTGTAAAGACAACTTTGAGTGCTTTCCGTTAACTGGTGCATCTCGGTTAGCCATCCAAACGATGGTGCGATTCCCAGATGTGGCTTGCTCCGAGAACCACACTGCAAAGCCATAAGCATTCTCTCCAACTTGATGAAAACCCGCTGTAAAAATTCCGTTGGACGAAACTAAAATGTCATCTTTATTTTCAACAGATAGATATGAGCCTCGAGTTAAGCCATGGCCATCTGGGGAAGAAGATAATGATGATGGTGTATGGGATAGTATTATTATGGTAACAAGAAAAACTGGAAGTGGTGCAGCCATGATTTTGGGATATGAAACGAGGAAATGTGCTGCCAATTTATATAAAAGGCATGGATACATATAACTCATGACTTATATTGATCTSCTTTTTAGCTTTGCCAAATAATTGCAACTTTTTATTGCATATTATATCATTTAATAAGTTATTTATATAAATAAATTAAGTATATAAATACATGTCAACAATATATTGTATTAAAATCTGACTTTTTTTTAATTAACGTGGATATATATCCAACCCGCTATACGAGTCGATTAATCTTCACTGTATTTGAATTTTCGTGACCACAAAGTGATTTTTATTTCTCATTAAATTTAAACCTAAACACTTTTAACCTTTAAAAATCAAACTTAAACCAATCATACACCATGTTATAGTTTTAAATATAGTCTCCAATCCATCATAAAAAAAATGCATAAAGCAAAGAAAGTGTGTTCGTTGACGAAGACTTGATGTGTTGATTGGTTGTCACTGTTCACAGAATTTGTTTGACCAAAAGTTGATGTACACAAATCGATGATGACAAAATACAACAACCACAACAACCATAATTAAATTATGAATTAATTAATAAAGAGTTTTGAATTCTGATTGATGATGCTACAAAAACAAGAAACACATGAAAAACAAGAAATTTGATCCATTTCATACTTTACAAGTAGATCTTAGTCCACATATGTTGCTATCAACCTTAGAAATTTAGAACCAACTTAATTACATTCAAAATTCAAAGAATAATTTCACATGTCAAAATCTCATATTGCAAAAATTACAAACGTATTTCTATTTTTTTTAAAGTATATAATTTTTATATACAGTAAATACAACAAATAAACTTACATACCCTCCTCACTTTTGGTGAGGTTGGAACCCCTGATCTTCTAGGAAACTAAAAACTAGAATATCATTAAGTCAAAAAGGACACTTTTGAGAAAGTTTGCCATAAACTCATATTTTTATAGGACATGGTGTTCTTTATGTTACTATTAAAGAGTATCATATAAAAAGTTAATTTCTTATAAAAATGTTTTCAAAATCTTATAACGATGCAAAAAACCATTCTGCAAATTTATTATGAAGGTTTTATATAGGACACTTTATTTTTTGTTATATAAATTAAGTCTCATATAACAGTCTATTCTGCAAAAAACTGTTTCTTGTATTTCTCTAAAATTAATGAAACTGTTTCATGTATTTCTCTAAAATTAAAATAATAAAGATGATAATATCGATGATTAACACCATCCACAATAAAAATGATTAATCAACCTCTCATAATCATAGATATTATCATCTTTATTATTTTAATTTTAGAGAAATACATGAAACAATTTCATTAATTTTAGAGAAATACATGAAACAGTTTCATTAAGTATTATATGAAACAATTCCACAACCATATATGAAACAAATTCATCAAAAAAAGTATTATATGAAAAAATTTCACAAGATTAAACAATTTAATGAAAAATTTTCATAAGATTAAACAATGAAATCGACGTACGAGGGTGGTTTACACGGTTTTTACAAATGAGGGGGGTTTTCATTTGATCACTCCTCTATAAAACCCCCCTCATTTGTAAAAACCGTATAAACCACCCTCATACGTCGATTTCATTGTTTAATCTTATGAAATTTTTTCATGAAATTGTTTAATCTTTAAACCTTCTTTCATATTATATTTTTTTTTGATGAAGTTGTTTCATATATGGTTATGAAATTGTTTCATATAATATTTAATGAAATTTTAATGAAACT